TCAGCGCCTTCGACCTCGAGGGAGGCCTGCCTCCAGCGTTCCAGGAAACTCCGAAGGGTTTCCTCCTTCTGTTGTCTCACATTCAGAAGGTGGGAGAAGTGTTTCTTTGAGCGGTGCCTCCCGGCAAACTGCGTAAGGAAGCGGTGGGCAAGTTCCTGCCAAGAATCAATGCTGCCTTCGGGCAACCGGTTGAACCACTCATACGCTGGTCCCTCCAAGGTGGAAAGGAACCAACGGCATAAGTATTCATCCGATGCCCCCATCATCATCATGCTGTTTTGATAACGGCTATAGTGCTCCTGGGGATCCGTCTTCCCCTCATACGGTTTGATAGGTTGCCCCCGATATTTGTGGGGGATTTTGGCCGCCAACACCCTTGGGGTGAAAGGCGTCCTAGTGCGGAGCTGAATGAGGGGCTCGCCTGAGCCTTCGGCAAGTTTTCGTTTCATTTCCTCCACCTGTGCCCGGAGGTCAGCGTACTCCGGATCTGGCCTCGCTGTGGAAGCCGTCGGGGGTGCCTGGCGATTCTCCTCGAGTTGACGGAGGAGGGCTTCAATGATTTCGTCCTTGGGATCCTTCGGGGCAACCCCTTGGGAGTTGGCCCGGAAGGATTGCGCCTGATTGATCTGGTGCCTGGCGTCATCGGCATGGAGGAGGGCTTTGCCTTTGCTCCGTGGGGGAGGCGCGCCCCCGGCGCCCGAAGCAGAGGCTCCACTCTCCTGGGGCCTGCTGAATGCCTGTTTCCCGAGGCGGTCTTGGACCCCTCGGTGCCCGGGAGCTCCCCCAAGCCTCTCAAGTACAGAGGTTCGGGGTTTCTCTTTCATCATGGGGCGCTTGTCCCTGGATTGGGCCTCTTGGGAGGCGGTATCCTGTGCCATGACCCCCTCGGCATTGCCAATCCCCGGGGGAGGACTGTTGAACAAAGGAGGGAGTGGTGGTAGTTGGATAACATTCCCTCCAGCGTGGGGCTGAAGGGGCGCCTGGGAGGCGAGGGCTCCGGAATTGAGAGCCATGTTTTGAACAAAGGCCGCAAAGGCAGCCTGAAGATCGATGGCCGGGGCCGGAGGGGGAACTTGGTTCTCACTCCGATCCCTCCTTCGATTGTCAAGGCCAATGCGGGCATCAGGGGCGTTCTTCTGTAGTTGCTGACGGAGGTCAGCAGTAGCCTGCTCCAACTCAAGGATGATACCACCCTCGGGTACTAAGAGCCTGTTGGAGGCCTCAGCCCCGTTGGTTTCGCCGGGGGCTATGTGGTTCTCCTCAAGGGTTTTGGACTGGGCACGGGTGGTTCTTCCCATTTTTGGTAAGTATTTCGTGTTTGGTAGAGGGGGAGGGTTTCTTACTTGATAGTTCAGACCTCTCAACGAGAGCACCAAATGATGGATAGTCTACCCGGGGGGTATCTTATCCGAAGGGTTATTTACGGAAACAACTAGAGAGAAGTCAGAGCAAATAGGAGGAGAGAGAGTCGATTTTATTAAATGAACTCAGTGTGGAGTTGAGATGCAGATTGTGTTTTACAAGGGGAAATAGGCTGCTATTTATAGCAGCAATAAATGCGATGAGAGGACACGTGTCAGTAATCCAACGGCCGAAGGGTCACATCAGCCTAGTGGCACCGGCAGTGGTACGTCAACCGCATTGAATGCGGTTGGTGGATGCGACGTGGCATTAAATGCGGTGGTTGGCTGTCTCTAAAAGGAATCTTCGATGATTGAGCTTGTTCAGCCGAAGGCTCCTTGTGTAGCCGAAGGCTTCTTGTTAGCCGAGGGCTGCTTGTGTAGCCGAAGGCATGAGAATGCCGAAGGCTCATGTCTCCGCCCGTTTTCTCCCAGCTGCTTCTTATGCCAGAGAAGGCTATCCTGTGAGTTTTGAAGCCTTCGGCCAAGGAGGCCGAAGGCACCCCAGTGCGTATTCTGGGCTACTTTGAAGCTTGGGCCGTTGTATTTGGGCCTGAGATGTCCTCTGGGCTCAATGGACTTGTGTAGGAGAAGTAGGAGTCTATGGGCCGGGGGTTCCTGGGCCATATACTCCATCAAATGGTATGCTAAAACTCATATTTAATTAGGACCCTTTTTCACAAGATAGAAGGTAGTGATTATTTGTAAAGAAAATATCTAGTATTTCGTGAACAAGTAAAATAGCTAGTCTAATGAGAGTGAGCTACTCGTAAGGCTAATTGGTGATAATGCCTTAGCAGTTTGAGAAGTGATTCAGTGTTGTATTCTAGTCTAAATAACTAGACTAACTAGACCAACTCACACAAAACATACTAAAAGAGATTATGCAAATGACAAAGAATAAAAGTAGTCGGATTTGTATAATCTCTATTTAGTGAAAATGAAGCTTCTAGCAATCAAGCCTCCATCAACTTTCTTACAAATCAAATCCGCAACTCAAAGTAACTTGTTGCCACTTGCCACTTGCCACTGCACAGGTTTACTTTACCAAATTTGATTAACCAAGTCCCTTACTTTGACACTAAGCAATTAAATTACAAAATAAAGCAAATTGATTTTGGCATTCCCCTCCTCCTTTAATGTCTTTTGACCTTTGAAAATGTCAGGTTGTAAAAGTAGACATATTAAATGTTCAAGTTCTTTTACATATTAGAGCTGCCACGTTGGGTTGAAGAATTCAGTGGATATATTATATGGACTCTTACTTGTCAGAGACAAATTTCATTTAATGTACATTATTTATTTTATTTTGAAGAAATAATCTATGTTAATTCTTCCATATTTTAAGGTTGATTACACTTTCTTTTTTGTGGCTGATGGAGTATATGGCCCAGGAACCCCCGGCCCATAGACTCCTACTTCTCCTACACAAGTCCATTGAGCCCAGAGGACATCTCAGGCCCAAATACAACGGCCCAAGCTTCAAAGTAGCCCAGAATACGCACTGGGGTGCCTTCGGCCTCCTTGGCCGAAGGCTTCAAAACTCACAGGATAGCCTTCTCTGGCATAAGAAGCAGCTGGGAGAAAACGGGCGGAGACATGAGCCTTCGGCATTCTCATGCCTTCGGCTACACAAGCAGCCCTCGGCTAACAAGGAGCCTTCGGCTACACAAGGAGCCTTCGGCTGAACAAGCTCAATCATCGAAGATTCCTTTTAGAGACAGCCAACCACCGCATTTAATGCCACGTCGCATCCACCAACCGCATTCAATGCGGTTGACGTACCACTACCGGTGCCACTAGGCTGATGTGACCCTTCGGCCGTTGGATTACTGACACGTGTCCTCTCATCGCATTTATTGCTGCTATAAATAGCAGCCTATTTCCCCTTGTAAAACACAATCTGCATCTCAACTCCACACTGAGTTCATTTAATAAAATCGACTCTCTCTCCTCCTATTTGCTCTGACTTCTCTCTAGTTGTTTCCGTAAATAACCCTTCGGATAAGATACCCCCCGGGTAGACTATCCATCAGTGGCATATTTATAAATTTGTTACACCTTTATAAGTACTCATTTACCTTTGTTTATTAATTTTATTGTCTCTTTCATGAGACATGTTTTACCTTTTCCGAGCAATTATAGGGGTATTTAGATCGAAACAGATATCAGAGTGTTAGAAGAAAGCACAGAAGTACTTCTGAATGCTCCAAATTGCTCCTAGAAACAGTTTTTAGAAGTTGGAGGAGACCCGTTTCTGAAAACCTGATTCCAATTACGTTTTTGCTTTTAAGAATGAAGTAGAAGCAAATCAATTACAAATACCCCATATTTTTATATTGTTAAGGATAGTTTATGTTATAACAAAAAATCGTCCCAAATAAAATGGGAGCCAATGGGACAAGATCCAACCCTAATCATAAATGTGAAATACAATGGATTGGGAGGACAAAGATCAACCAAAACATTGTGACATAAAAAAAATAGACAAAAAGCATGTTGTCACAAATTGCTTACCTTATTGATGCATCTCTAATTTATCAATTTTCTGGTTTAACTAATTGCCTAATTTAATTCTTTCCAGATGCAAGGGGAAATATATTGTTCCTGTTCTCAGTTTCCTTTTTGAACCGTTTTTATTTCTCATTTTTTTGAGAACATTTACTTGACTATTTCATATTCTCTTTTCGACTTTTTCATTTTGTGGAACGAGTCCATAGATATGACTTCTCTACTTTATAAAAACAAAAATGTGACTAACTTTAATCTTTTCGAAACATGTGACTGCAAACATTCAAAATTTTCTCCTTCCAAGTTCCAACCTCTACCCAACTGCCTCCCTCCCTAGTCAATTGAAAAAATCACCAAAAGGTTCTGCGGACCATCATAGAGACATGTTTGACACTGGTAGCCACATTTAAAAAATCATTGACATAAGAAATCGATATTTACAAATAGGGGTGGACTCGGGCCGGTCGGCCCGGTCGGGCCGGCCCGGTCACTGTTTGGCCCGGCCCGGCCCGTGGCCCGGTGGGTCCACCGGTTTGGTTTGGCCCGGCCCGGGCGCTGGGCGGTCCGGGCTCGGGCCCAGCTTTTGGTGAACCGGCCCGGCCGGTTCGGGCCCGGTCCGGGCCGGATTTTATTTTTTTTTTTTTGAAATTTTTGTAAGTTTTAGGTTGGATTAGGTATTTTGGGTCATTTGAGGTGGTTTGGGATGGTTTGGGGTTGAGGGGGAGGGGTAGGGGGTTAAATAGGAGAACCAAAAACCAAAAAAAAAAAAATGTGGGCCGGTTGGCCCGGCCCGGTTTGGCCCGGAACCGGAACCGGCCACCGGCAGTTCGGGCTCGGGCCTAGAATTCCTGAACCGCGAACCGGCCGGGCCCATGCCCGAACCGGCCCGAGTCCACCCCTATTTACAAAGATAATTGTACAATTTTTTCAACTTGTAAGTCACTTTTTATGAAGTCAACTGTATCCATATACTAGTATAAAAGTACTCAAGGGGAAAATCCATTTTTGTAATGTTTCCCATTTTCTACTTTTTGTTCTACTCTTTCATAGTTTTTATACCGCCTCATTCTTAACCCCTGCAAAAAAATATCTCTATAAAATCTACTATCATTTAGTTAAGAATGGGTGTAGTATAGTAATAGAACTTATATGACATCAAACCTGACTAGACAATTTCAGACAAAATCAAAGAGTAAGATTCAATCCAAAAGAACTAATCTTATAAAATTATTGACACCACTGGATGAAGTTCTCAACTTCAGCACAAACTGACTTAACTGTATTGTATGTTCTCTGTAGGCTTCACATGGGTAACATGCACTATCCACGTATGCACAGAATAATTACAAATACAAATTGTATTCATGGAAGTATTTGCAGTGGGAATGGAAGACGAGCAATGCCATGATTAGGACTGTTCATTTATGGGAGCATTGGGAGGGATTGATATATCCATAGGCACTCCGGGAGTAGGCTCAAGGACGGTTGCAGATGGCAATTCCTTTGACAAAATATCCTGCATCATATATATTAAAGATAAAATTTCAAAGCAATTATGGCTGCCCATCATCAAAGATTATAAAATACATCTGACTTGTGTAAACTTTGCATTGATATATTTCAAGTGACAAATTGACAATAGAGAGGGAACACGGAATAGATGAAAGTTTTATATTCGACTAGGTGTTTGTCCAACATTTGGGTGGCCTAGTACATCTAGCGTTCGACATTTCAAAATACAACCTCTTTCATAAACATTTCAGGACCGTTTCGCCAGATGTAGCTCACTTGGTAGGAAAAGGGTATCACAAGGGAGAAGTTGCGGTTCAACTCCAAGCAAAAACTTGGGCCGGAACTACACTCTCTTTCCACCGATGTATGATCAAAGCTCAATTTACATCATTTCAAATAACTGTTTGGCCCATTCTGTGGGCCCACAGGGATGAGCGTCATCTTTTTTTTTCATGACCTTTTCCGTATATATAGAAGCTTCTGAAAAAGTTTCCTCAATAAAAAACAAAGGACTGAAGGATGCATTTCACGCAGGCCTTTCCTTTTAGAGAGGTGTTTCTGAAGAATTAAGTTGGGATCAAATCTACTGTGTGCAACCGTACATAGGGTTGGGACCGGTTCGGTTCTTACTCAAAATGAGTGGAACCGTTATAAAAGTTTTAATTAATGAAATCGGTTCGGTTCCTATATAAAAAATCAAGAACCGTTATGGAACCGAACCGGTAGTAAATGGTTTGGTTCTTCCTTTTACCGGTTCCTAGAGTAATTTTTTCTCGTCTAAGAATTAACACATAATTTTAAACACGTCGAAAATTCAAAACACGAGTATTAAAATTTTATTTGAAGTTCTAACCACTTCAAACATAAAAGCTCAAACTTAACTAATGAACTTTGAACACTTAATAGGAGTACTCTTCCGGTCAGGAATTCCTGACCGGAACCGTCGTCCAGACGGCGGAGTTTGGCCGCCTTCCGGGTGGAATTTTTCGATGAAATTTTTATGACATGTTCTCCATCAAGTCTAGTTTATCCACAAAAAATATCAGCCAAAAACTCATTCGGGAAGGTCGTCAAATGATTTTTGCAAGTTAACTGGTCCAGAAAATACATATTCCGGACCAGTTAACTTGCAAAAATCATTTGACGACCTTCCCAATTGAGTTTTTGGCTGAATTTTTTTGTGGATAAACTAGACTTGATGGAGAACATGCCATAAAAATTTCATCAAAAAATGCCACCGGGAAGGCGTCCAAACGCCGCCGTCCGGACGGCGGTTCCTGTCCGGAATTCCGGACATGAACATTTGTGCACTTAATAGAACAAAAGTGATTTAAATTTTCATGTAATAAATGAAACATTAAAAATCGTTGTAGTGTCGGAGCGATAAAGGTTACTCGTCATCATAGTAGCAAGAATAGGACGCCTACTTCAAGTCGTTCAAAACACACAAAAAAAGACATTGAGTTTGCATGTATAGATATAAAAAACATTATTACATTCTATTGATTCATAATAAATCTAATAATTAGAAATACCATGAAAATAGTAAAGTAAAATATGTGCAATCAACTACAAGTTATTTGGGTTATTTTATATTTATAAAATTTATGTGATGGAACAAAACTTGATTTGTAGAAAGGAGTTTAATATATTATATCAACGTCATGTACAATATTTATTACTTCTTTTCCGTTGATTAAATTAGAATTGTTAGTTAAATATCTTATAATGTTTTATTAATGTTGTTGTGGTGGTGGTTATTATTGCTATTATATTATTATTATTGTTACTACTACTACTACTACTAATATTATTTTATTTTTTATTTTTTTTAATAACAGTTCCTTAACGGTTCCATGCACATATTTTTTATAGGAACCGGGAACCGAACCGTTATAACCCGCTTCGGTTCGGTTCCTACAAATGAGGCATTAATTGTTAATGGTTCGGTTCCAATCGGTTCTACGGTTCCTGGTTCCAAAATCCCACCCCTAACCGTACATATTAACATCAATTAGCAAATATATTCAAATTTTAGAATGTTAGAATATCCTGAATAGTTTGGGCCATTACTCAACATCTTTTACAAATACCCCTATAATTGAAGTATTTACCACATCTTTTCCAGGCAACTTATCTTATAGCCCCCCTTTTAAATTATTTGCTCCATATTCTTCTTAGAGGAGTTTTATTATTTGCTCTTCCCTAACTTGGCAACTTTTATAATATCAAAGTACATAAATACCTTCACATCTTCATCTTTTGACTCCTACAGTTCACTACTCTACTATTTTACTCTTAAACTCCTTTAAACCCCTATTGGACAAAATGAATAAAAGAGGAGTATATTTTTGAATTGAATATTCATACCTTGAAGGATTCCATCGTTCCCTCAGCCTTGACAATACGAGCAAGAATTCCTGTGCTATCAAGGTCACCATTTCTCATGGCTACTATGAACCTGTAAAAAATCAGCCACACAAAGGGTGATAATTTATAAATCATTGTAAGCTTGGTTTCTATGATTCTAATTCACTTGAATTGCTTGACATGGTATGCAACTTTTTCTATATCCCAGAAACTCCAAGGTCCACTGGTGGAGCCTGCCACCAGTGCTCAATGGATAAACCTGCAGCTGACATGCCAAGTTCTAACATATATATCACCCCAAAGGGGCTGCATCTGTTCGTGACCTAGGAGCTGATATGCATCTTACTTGGCAGAGAGAAGCTTTGCCAGCTGAACGGCATCCTCTTGTCCAGAAACCAATGTAAAGCTTGGTAAAATTTGCTTTATGACAGGAGTAATAACAATGTCTGCATGTTCTTTCTCCAAGAAGGTCTTGTTGTATATACAATGTGGTTCGTAATATAAAGTAAGCACATCGTGTGGAGAAGTTACGAGATAACTGCTGGGGCACATGAACAGTTAGAGAAAAATAAGATCACAATTGCCATAGATTCAAAAGAAGCTACAATAACACATACCCATTCTCAGGTCGTTGCCAAGGAGGACCAAGAACTGGCCCGGCAGTTGCCTTCACATTAACTTTAAAGCCATTGCTTGCTTCAATGATGTAGGCCTGACCAGGTTCCAAGTATGTGACCTGCATATTCCGCAACCATTGTTTAAACGAACTAATTAATTCATAATGTAGAAAAGAAAGAACAAGTACAAGATAGGTTATGTTTGTAAGTGTCTGATAAGCCAAAATGTAAATATATGCTATTTTATCTAGAAAAGCTATTTACGAACACCTAATTTTACCAAATATTTTTGGCTAAAGGGTCAAATAGGTACATGAACTAACTTAAAGTGTTCAATTAACCCCTTATATAGGAGGTTCAGCCCGGCCATCGTCAATTGGGGAGGTTCCCGGTTGAATTTTTTGATGAATTTTTTTGAGCATCTTCTTCATTAAGTCTAGTTTACTCATACCAAATTTCAGCTAAAAATTCAACCGGGAAGGCAGTCAAATGATTTTCCGAAATGTACTGCGCTATTTAATTGCGCAGTTATCTTCAAAAAATCATTTGACTGTCTTACCGGTTGAATCTTTAGCTGAAATTTGGTATGGATAAACTAGACTTAATGAAAAAGATGCTCAAAAAAATTTATCAAAAAATTCCACCGGGAACCTCCCCAATTGGCGACGGCCGGGCAGAACCTCCTATAAAAGGGGCTAATTGAACACTTTAAGTAAGTTCATGTACTTATTTGACCCTTTAGCCAATATTTTTTGACCATCAACTTGCCAAAACCACTAACCAATCCATCTGTCCAACAAAGTCATTTGTTGTTTCAAGAACTCTAAAAAGAACTGATATAGAAATTAAAGGATCCAATACATCTCAGCGAACCACTTGAGGTGACATTTAGTACTTATAATATTATACATTTGTATAATTGTATCTCAAACAAACCACATCCTCTCTCACAATAACAATCTATCTGAATTAACATAATGTTAAAAATGCAGAAACATAAAGAACACATGTGTTAATGCAGCACGCACATTCTTAAAAAGGGGATCCAACAGGGACTTCGCATTAGGAGTTGCAATAACTCTGACATTTGGTGACATTTGAGAGAGGGGCCTTAAGGTCTTGAGATGACAATGATCATCAAGGCTTTGTGTAATCAGTATACAATCGACTTCTGGAAGATCATTAATCTGCTCTAAAATCACATGACACAAATCTAAGTTGCTGACTTTCAGTCCAAATTCAAGAATAAATAAACACTGAAATGAAATATGTGAAGTAATAAGTGTCTCAAATTAGCAATAATAAGAAACATTATACAGTACCTGGAAATTCTTCAAAAACTTCTTGGCAGCATCATAAAGCCATGGAATTCCAAAATCCAAATTACCTACCAAAATTGGATCCACCAATATTTTCACCCCTCCTACTTCCCACAACCAACTATTTCCCTAATTAGACTTAAGAATCAACTAGATATCCCACACCAACGGAGAACTGTAAAGTGATAAATGAATCAGAAAATCCTTTTCAGTGGATGTAAAAAGAATTCCAACCTCTAAGTAAGTCAATTTGAAGAAATCAATTCCAGAATAATCAGAGTCCACCGATTTTTTCTCTGAAACCATTGCCGGTATGCCCATGGTCATCCTGCAAGCAATTGCAAATAAAGGAAATAAAACATCATAATCTACTTTTTGCAGTTCTTCAATGGATTTTGTGCGATATAGATAAAGAGGGACCTGGAACTTGAGGCATCGATAGAAGAACCGGCAAAAAAATGAGTCTTTTGAAGATTCATGAAATGCGTAGGAGATGATGGGGAAACTGGCCAAGTTTTTGGGCCACAAGCTGGTTTGCAGGGGAAGCGTGGGACGGAAATGAAGCGGACAGCCATTTACGCAGCACGTATTCAGGAAAGGATAGAATTCTTCCTTTCTGTATAGTTGATTGATTAGTTACTTTTGGATGAAAATTGGTAGGGGAGCGTTGATTCCTGCTCATGGAAGGAGCCACGATTTAATGTTGGTGGTGTCAATCGATTAAAATCATATATAAAGATATAGGAATGATCTTGGCAGTCAGGACTAACAGGATTTGTTGTCCAGCCAAGCTCGTTTGAGAGCATTCTAGATGAATTTTTTGATGAAAGTTTATAATCATGTTTTTCATGAAATTCAATTGAGAAGACAGTCAAATAAATCATTGAAAAACACGAGATTTTAATGTATATCTATATAAAATGTCATGTTTTTCAAGAATTTATTTAACTAATTTTGGGTCGAATTTTTAATAAAATTTTGTAGTGATGTTCTACATTTAATGAAGAAAACATGATCACTAAATTTTGTCAAAAATTTAACCTGGAAATCCCTCAAACAGACTAACTATATCATTCCTCGTACATCTATATAGCAAAATAGCAAAGATTGACATTCATAAAATTAAAGGGCTAACTCACAACTACCCACAAACGGCGTTTTCATATGTTGAAAATGTTGTGAAATTTTTCCTTTGTTAACACTTTTAATACCCTAGTATATCTTTTTCAAAAAAAGTAACTAAGGCATCATTCATCAAAACATATTCAATTCGATTGTGCAATCGGTTCTTCCGTGATTCCGTCATTCCTTCTTACAACAATTTGGAGTTGGACTATTGGTGTAAGAGTTGTGCCGCCCAAACTTTTCTTTTTGACATGACTTTTCAATTTTTTTTACATTGACCCCACTAAAACATGAATAAAATTATCTAAATAGGACTAAAACATGGATAAAATTCATAAATAGTTCTACCAATGTTTTATTTCCAAAATGGAACTCAATAACACCTATTTTGAGAAGTTTTAATCAACTTATTCTTTCGAACAGACTAAATAAGTCTTATTTGGGAAATAAATCATACTTAGTCTTATTTTTGAACTTTGTGTGTGTTTTGATCCAATATCGAACAATTTCTTTTTAAAATGGTGGTGTCAATTTTAAAATATTACATATACTTATATGTAAATTATTTTTTTCAGTGGTGTCAATTTTAATTTTTTTTAAAATTATACTCCCTCTGTCCCGCTATGATTGTCTCATTTTACCATTTCGGTCCGTCCCACTAAGATGGTCTCATACCTTATTTGGTAAAGTTTGTGTGGTTCTAAATCATTCCTACTTTATTCTTACTTTATCAATTCAATATCAACCACATAAACCCACTTTTAGTAACAACTGTGTCACCTTCTCTTGTCCCAAACTTAGTGGGACGGAGGTATTATATACCTATATATAAAAAATAAAATTTTCGGTGGTTTCAATTGACACCACAAGACTATATGTGGCTCCGTCCCTGTTCCTGCTCAGCGGAAAGGATTCAGTGATTCCCGTTCCGGCAAAATAGGAATTTCATCTTCCAAGCGGCAACTAGTTCATGATTAGCCAGCTAGACGGTAAAAAAAGGTAACAAGTTAACTAACATACTAGTATTTGCCTAAATTGGCCAAATTACCAAATTAGTAAAAAAAAACGGGGGGTCATTGGACAGATTGGAAAAAACAAAATCACTTGAGACAAATCGGTAAAATAAAAAGAAAGCTTAGTGACAAATTGGTTAATTTTTTGTTAGTGATAAACTGAGCCCGACTTTAGAATTCCCAACCTTTCATATTTTAAGTAGAGAAAAGGGACAAATAAGACCACGTACTAACCAAAAAAGGTCAAATAAGGTCTTATTTAAGAGGATCTGTCCGGCCGTTGCCATTTGGGGTGGTTCCCGGTGGAATTTTTTTATGAATTTTTTTGAGCATCTTATTCAGTAAGTCTATTTTACTCATACAAAATTTCAGCTAAAACTTCAATCGGGAAGGCACTCAAAGGAATTCTTGAAGATAACTGCGTAGTTAAAAACGCAGTTATCTTCAAGAATTCATTTGAGTGCCTTCCCGATTGAATTGTTAGTTGAAATTTGGTATGAGTAAACTGGACTTAATGAATAACATGGTAAAAAAATCATCAAAAAATTCCACCGAAAACCACCCCAAATGGCGAAGGCCGAACAGAGCCTCATAAATAAGGCTTTATTTGACTTTTTGGTTAGTACGTGGCCTTATTTGCTCCTTTTCCCTTTTAAGTATTATGAAATTGACATTTTCGGTCCTTTTACTTTGATTTTGTCATCAAAAGTGAAAGTCTGAAAATGTCAACGATCGTGTTTGATAATAAAATTTGTCTGGTAGCTAATAGCCGGTTGAATCAACATAATGATAATAGCGGATTCCGTTAGCTTTTTAACTAACCGCTTTCATTAGCGTTTGAAATAAAATATTAGTAACTTAATTGGTGGCTATTAAATGTTAAGACGTAAAATGGCAGTTAAAGATATGAATTTAAAAGTATATATTTTACCTTATCTTCATTTGTTTTATTTTTAAAAAGTGAAAAGGTTTTAAAAATTATATTTACATTTATTTTAAATAACACTGGACTAATTTTTTTAAAAAACAAGTAAATAGTCATATGGAGTAGAATTCTGGGGTAGATTTTTTAAATGTAGTAGACTTTAAAAAACTAATAAATAGTCATATTAAAAATAATATTACTAAAAATATATGAATTTATATGTGGGTGCTCGCATTAATGTACATATCTTAACAATGACACTGTTAGAAATTATTTAAAATAAACGCAAACATAACTTTTAAATTTTTTTTTCTAAAACTTATTAAAAATAAAAAGAAATAAAATTAGTTTAAATATATAAACTTTTAAATTCATTTTTAATGGTCATTTTACGTCTGAAAAAACTAATTGTAAATTTTAAGTTACTAACATTTTATTTCAAACGCTAATGAAAGTGATTAGTAAAAAAAAAAGTTAACGAATCTGCTAATATCAATCTGTTGATTCAACCAGTTATGAGCTAGCAGATAACTAATATTATCAAACACAGTCATTGACATTTTTAGACCTCCACTTTTAATGACAAAATCAAAGTAAAATGACTGCAAATGTCAACTTCACACAATACTTAGAATATGAAATGCCGGAAATTCTAAAATCGATAATCGAAAGTTTATCACTCACAAAAAATTGACCAATTTGTCACTAGGTCTTCTTTTTTTTACTAATTTGTCTCAAGTGATTTTTTATTTACCAATTTGTCCAATGACCCTTTTTTTACCAATTTCGTAATTTGGCCACCTAAATTTGGTCAATACCACAAACCATTTTAACATGGAATAAGCCACAAATATTATAGTTTTGTGAAATAGTACAAACCAGTAATTATTTTTCCTTTTTCTGACAATATGACTAAATTTTTGTTTAATTAATTCATCATTTTTTTCATTGTATTTTATAACAAATCTCTACCTTAACCCTCCTCCCATCGCACCTGTCCAGTCCGACTGGATCCGTCATCGGAAACTGCCACTTGAAAAGTCGAGCGAAACCGCCGCCCTAAAAGTCGCAAGAAACTGCCGTCATAAAAGTTGCCGGAATTTTTTAATGTTTTTTTATTTGTTTTTTTTTTCAAAAATCGCCGGAAAAAGTCATTGGAGATTTTTCTGACAACCGCAACGACATGTTTCATAGCAGTAGTTACATCCGTAAGTGACATGAATATGTGGAGAGATACACACAAACACATTTTCATGAAATTTATCTTTCCTTTTTCCAAGGTCTGTGTTTTTGGTAAGTTTTCTGAGCAATGCCAACCACAATATCCACATATAAACATGTGTTTGATATTGTGATGAATAACATACCAAAAACACAAAGATTTTTCAAATAAGAAAAGATATATTCTTATTTATTTTATGATTTTATCTCTTTCATTCCATGTATGAACTGCACCGTTCAATTTTTTTTATTGAATAGACTCCTAATAATGCGTATATACTTATAGTATTACTAGAACCGTGATCCACTGGGAGGTTTCTCAAGGTGCGCACAAGTCTGGATAAAGTATGCGGTAAAAGGCTTGTATTGGTCAATAATGATAGTACTGCGTTTGGAAGGCATTTAGGAGTAAGACCTTGGACCCTGCGGGATCAGGGTGTTACAACTCACATCAGAGTAATCCTACGACAGTGTGCTAATCGATGGATATCGGGCAAGCACTTAGTGGGGATTCTTGGATTTGATTGAAATTGGTGTACGTGCACAACGAGGACGTTGCATTCCTAAGTGGGGGTGATTGTAATACTTAAAATTAGCTTAAAAGATTAATAGTTCTACCTTCTACGCATATCAACAAGGTGCATTTTCTTTTAAGGAGCTCATATTTTAAAAACTTCAAGTTAAGCGTGCATTGTACGGGAGTGGCCTTGGGATAGGTGACTTCCTAAGAAGTTTCTCAGGGCGCACGAGTGCAGAAAAGTGCTCGGTAAAAGGCTTGTGTTGGGTTTGTAAGACAGTACTAGGTCTAGAGAGCATTCAAGAGTAATGACCTTGGACCCTATGGGGTCAGGGTGTTACATGGTATCAGAGCCAAAAGTCACGGGTTTGACTATGGGCAACAGCATATTGCGCAGTTGAGGCTGCAAGTGTTGGGGGATTGTTGGACCATGGGAATGCGGTGCTAGTAGTTTTGTCAGCCTGTCGGTGCAATCGATATGAGGCTCTTTGCGTAATCTATAAGGGGGAATGGGTGTGCTACACTATCAGCGGGTTACTTTTAGTGTAGCGGTAAACGTAACGATCCATAAAATATAGATCCATTCGCATTATAAAGAAGCGGTTATGGATCGGGTCTAAATCAAAACTCGGATCATTGACAAGCCTATATTGGAGTGATACTATAGTAAGTATGGTCAGCATTTACACATAATATCAAGAGTCTAGGTCATTAACTCTAAAACTATTTTCAAAATCTCATAAGGTGCTTGACATCATACACACCCTACTTCCGAAAAACACGTTCAGATTCCCCAGAAAGTCTTCCAACCGATACGGCAACGGAGATTGCTTCAGAATCTTCACGAAGTAGTCGAAGTTCGTACGTGCCGTGGAAAGTCACCCAGCTCACCCACTCGTTGTAGATCAAACTGGATGACATCATCAGCTCATCCAATCGGGCCAAGTGGATCCCGAGCTCTCTTGTACGGTTGAAGTTGTGGCCGTGGAGGAGCAGG